AAGTGCAGCAATACAAAACAAAACACCGCGTCTTTAAAAGTCACAACATACTTCCTTACGCTCTTTCGTTTTACTCTACAGTGCCGCCCACTCCGCTCTGGACTTCTTCTCGCGCATGGGACCGTGTCGTCTCTTCTGATTGGCTGCTGCTCTCCGGTCCGTCCCGCTCATGAGGTAACCCCGGCTGTGGTTGTTGATGCCCGTGGCTGGGCCGTGATGGGGCAGAGGGTGTCGGGTGTGGTGAAAGCCGCAGATGAGCCGGAGACAAGCGAGCTGGCGTATCCGCCGGTGTGTGCGTCGCTCCGTAGCCGCGGCGTCCCGTTACCGGCCCGTCTGGAGCTGCTGTTGGACATGCCGCCGGCGGGACCGGAAATCCAGCATCAGCACGCCTGGAATCCAGACGACCGCTCGCTCAACCTCTTCATCAAAGACGACGACCGGCTCACGTTCCACCGCCACCCGGTGGCCCAAAGCACGGACTGCGTGCGGGGAAAAGTAGGCTTTACCCGCGGTTTGCACGCTTGGACTTTGCGCTGGCCCGTACGGCAACGCGGCACGCATGCCATAGTCGGGGTCGCGACTTCTTCGGCTCCCTTGCGAGCCGTCGGATATTCCGCGCTAGTCGGTAGCGACGCCGAATCCTGGGGTTGGGACTTTGGACGGGGTCGACTTTACCACGACAGGAAGAGCCGGACCGGCCCGGCGCCGTCGTACCCGGAGTTTATCGAGGATGAGGAGGATGAAGGGACGTTCTCGGTGCCTGAAGAGATACTGGTGGTTCTGGACATGGACGAGGGAACGCTGGGATTCTGCGCCGACGGGAACTACCTGGGCGTAGCGTTTCGTGGGCTGAAAGGGAAGAGGCTGTACCCAATCGTCAGCGCCGTGTGGGGTCACTGCGAGGTCACCATGACCTACATCAACGGATTAGACCGTACGTATCGTTTTCAGGTTTTGCTACTTCCGTTTTCCCTGCTTGTCTCATGTTTTCCATAATCGCCATCCTTGGGCACTTCTCCGTGTGTGTGTGTTCACGGTGTGTGTGCACTTGGATGAGTTAAATGCAGAGCACAAATTCTGAGTATGGGTCACCATACTTGGCTTTACGTCACTTCACTTCAGTGTATGTTGATTTCAATCCAGCTCTTTAGAGATGCTCATCATAGCTTTGCTGTTGCTTCATGATGAGAGTAATTGCGCAACCACTCATAGTAACTGGGAACAACATGTTTACGTGCAACAGATCTAGTGCTTTTCTGTAATAGCAGTTTTTAGAAATTATGCACCGATGAACTTATTCCCATATTGTTGTCACGATGCACACAAGCATATTTCCAAACTTCTCTGAAAAGGCAATGTAATGGGGGTTTTGCATGGTTGCAACACTGACTGTGAATTTACAGAAATAAGTAGCATTTTATTCATTTTTTTTCTTCTCCAAAAAGCACACTTATAGTTGATCTAAATATGTTTGGATATGCAAGTCACACCTAATTTATAAAATTCACTTGCTGTGCTGCAGGATCACTTTTCTTTTCTTTTTTTTTTTCTTATGCCAGTATACACTACTGTTAAGATGTCTGGGGTTGGTATGATTGTTTTTTTTTTCTGTGTTTTTGAAATAAGTCTGTCATGCTCATCAAGGCTGCATTTATTTGATCAAAAATTCAATAAACAGTAGTATTATGAAATATTATTACAATTTAAAGGAACTGTTTTCTGTTTGATTATTTTAAAATTATGAGCACTGTTTATTTGCCTCTCTATGATGAATTAATTGTATTTCTCAATTTTAAGTCGCTTTGGATAAAAGCATCTGCTAAATGAATAAATGTAATATAAATGTAAAATGTAATTGATTCCTGTGATGCAAAGCTGAATTTTCAGCATCATTACAGCATAGTTTTCAGTGTCACATGATCCTTCAGAAATCATTCTAATATGCAGATTTTCTTAATATTATCAAAGTTACCACAAAACAGTTTTTGCTGCTTAATATTTTTCTGAAAACGATAACGTACTTAGTTCAGTTTTAAAGAACAGCATTTAAGTGAAATATAATTATTTTGTAACATTATAAATGTCTTTCCTGCCACTTTTGAACAATTTAATGCATCCTTCCTGAATAAAAGTATTATTCTCTTTAAAAAAAAAAAAAATCATACTGACCCCAAACTTTCAACAGGTAGTGTTTACAGTCAGTTCTCAAGTTCCACTGATGCCTCACATTGCTTTGTCACTGTTTTTAACACTATATTTAAAAAGTAAATTATAGTTCAAACAAATGTTATTCAAACTGATTTCCCCCCTTTTTACATTCCTTCTATAAGTAACTTGTGATTGGCTCTTTTTTTTTAACGATTCTTTTGCAGCGTCACGACCTGAATCATTCAGCTTATCTAGAATCAGTGCTGGTCTTTGAAGTCCTAACGAGTGTTTTCACATGATCGCTTGAGGTCTTTGACCCTTGACCCTAACTGACCTCTGCTCTGTCCCGCAGCTGAACCTCTGCCGTTGATGGAGCTATGCAGAAGGGCGGCACGACAGGCTCTGGGACGCCACCGAATCCATCACATCCAGTCTCTGCCACTGCCACAGACGCTCAAGAACTACCTGCAGTACCAATGAGAGACACACACAGCCAAAAAATCACCGGCGTTAACTGAAAACGCACTCGGAGATGATCTGCAGGGCTGTAGAGGCTTTGTGCTGTGCACAGACTTTAATTAAGTGTCGTAGGGAAGGACAGATTTGACCAGCCGGACAACAAGTATATCTGGTTTTATACATGATTATGAGGTGACTAATGAGAAGGTGTTTTTATTTGTATGTGAGAATGACTCAAGTTCATGTCTTCCATGCAAATCATTTCCTTAAGAGCTGATGATTTTGCTTTTAACTTCACTTTTATCTAAACACTAAGGACCTAGTTTTCTGGACATAAATCCAACATAATTATATTAGACTAATGCGTTTCATTCCAGAAAAACAGGTCCTTATTCTTTCACCAGTCTTAACTAATACATATCCGCAGTGCCTGAGATCTTTTAAAATCTTTTTCCGTTCGTGTTTATTATGAGTTTATTTCGTTTGTGATCATGACAAAGCTGATTAAATCGGTTTCAGATGTTTTTAGCATATAAACGCGATTTAGAAATGTGCCGCAGCGTTTTTTACAGATCTGATTTTTATATGAAATGGATGCTTGTCTTTTTCAAGGATCAAACAGAAACCCGCAAGACGGCAGACACGACTTTGTTCTTTTGTGACCTTTGAAATGTGAATAAAAATAAAACTCCAAAGCCAAACCCTGTCTGCTCCTCTTTTACTTCTGTAGTCTCACTTGCTTTTAAAAATCAAATGTTTGACAAATGTGGCGACTTGTTTGTAAGTGCGTTTTCAGATTAGTTTTGACTAACGGAATGGATTTTATTTATTATGGTCATAAAAAAAAAAGTTGACCAAATGGGCCAGGTTTATTTCAGTTAGTCTGAGTTATTGTCAGTTGATTTGGTTCCAAATAAGTCAGACTAACTGAAATAAGCCTGGCTTATTTGGTAAAATTGTTTTATGAAACAGGCCCCAGGTTTCAATTTTATATTATTTTGTTTACGCATCAATGGCGTCTTGTTTTTTTTGTGTTTTTTTTAAGAATAGCATTCAAAACTGCATCACAGCACTGTATTTTAAAAAGGAAATAGCGATTTTATGTAGTTATTTGCTGTAAAATTGTTTTTTGTATATATATTTACAGTTCATGTTTTATTTAATATACATTTAATATTAAGAATAATATTTATTATAAAGATGTTTATATGATTAGTAAAATATTAATTGCAAATATTACTATCAAATAACGTTTTCATTGTTTAGCTTATCATGTGGGTTTGGGGGTGTGTGTGTGTGTGTGTGTGTGTGTGTGTGTGTGTGTGTGTGTGTGTGTGTGTTTTACCTACAATTAGAATTTTGACACACTATGGGGTAAGTTGTCAATGGGAATCTGGAGTCTTTTTTTTAATGTATCAGATTGATATTATTATCATCATCATCATTACTACTACATACTCCTGTTATGGAACCAGTTTGAGTGACCTAAAGTTAGTATCTAAAGTAAAACAAAGATGTCTTTAAAAATGTATTATATGTATAAAGTGTTTTTTTAATCCGTTTGTATTCCCCTATAATTGTTTTTAATGTGACAACTTGCCCCAGTCTGACATTTATGAAATTTGAGAACACAGTAATCTGATATCAACGTGCTACACATGACGCACCACTAGATGTCGCTGTTGTTTTACGCATTTACCTTGTGCTCGTTCAGGGCGTCGCAGCAGAAGTGCCAGTTCGACTTTAATATATTTTATTGTGGTTAAATTCCAGTATAGCAGACATTTGCCAGCTTTGTTAATGAGTGAAAACGAGGCGACCAATTTCTTAAAACAGTTATTTTATTGACCCATGTAAAGAAAGTGCAGCAGCGACCACAAAAAGGAGCAAATTCTGTTTAGTCGGTAAGATGTACAAACATACAACCCATTCATTTGCACTTCATAATGAAAGAACAGTCATTTACAAAAGCACTCCCACACAAACACACTGCCATGTTACACAGAAGAGAGACAGACGGAGAAAGACTACATTAAAAAGGTGCACGCACAGATTTATAAAAACGTATTCCAGGACGCCAGTTATTAGAGATTAATTTCAGGGTTATTATGAAAGGACGATCATTTCACATCAAACGGGTCTGAGAGAAAACGAGATGCACTGTAGAGGCCTCAAAAAAGAAACTCCCTTTAAAGGGGTCATATGATGCGATTTAAATTTTTCCTTTCTCTTTGGAGTGTTACAAGCTCTTGGTGCATAAAGAAGATCTGTAAAGTTGCAAAGACTAAAGTCTCAAATCCTGTGTTTTTTTTTACTTTAAACCGCATAAACACATTTCATTACACCAAATACACAAAAGAATGTTATTTTTAGCAGCATCATATGACCCCTTTAATCAAAAGCCTGAACAGGCGGCTGCTCGAGTTTCTTCTGTGACTTCACTGTCTCATATTTTGTTTTTGTCCTCCAGCGGTAGAGACAGAGAGTGTAAAGGGATCAGACGGGATGCAGGACTTTTATTAGTTTGTCACCTCACACCAAAAACAGTATCACAAAGGATCAGAGCTGTTTCAAAGTCTTTCGAAGTGTGTTTGCACGTCAACTCGCGTGTATTGCAGGTCACTAGAATGCTACAGGTAGAGCGTTGTGTTTGTGTGAATGTGTTTTCATCAGTGTAATGTTGATGTTCCCCATTGCATCCTTGTTTGATGATGTATGAAAGACGTGGTAGTTTCCTCTTCATCGCTGTCTGAGTCGGTACTAGAGATATCACAGTCCTCTTCCTCGTCTTCTTCCTCTTCCTCCTCAGTTACTTCTGCTGACTGAAGCTCCTGAAAGCTCTAAAATGAATCAAATTAATCTGCTGTGATAAACTTATTCGAATTCTTTCCATTTATCTGCTTACCCTCGTTCAGAGTCATTTAAACGAAATACTGAAAAATGAGACAAGAATGAAGAATCTTAAAGCAACTGTATGTAGTTTTTGTGTATTTTTGCGACTTTGGAGCCACCTACAGTCAAGCAGGTGAAATTCACTGTCGTACATACGGTATATTACTGTCGTAATTACAGTGGATAGCTATGTAAGCCCGTTTCCGCCACCTGAAAAAAAGGTAATTGCGACTTTTTAACTCGCAATTCTGACTTTTTTCTCGCAAATCTGTTTTTTTTCTTGCTCAGAACTGTGAGATATCAACTCGCAGTTGCTTGTTATAAAGTCCAAATTTGAGGGGGGAAAAAGACTGATATGTTCTCAGAATTGCGAGTTTATATCTCACAATTCTGACTTAATAACTCGCAATTGTCTTATAAAGTCAGAATTGACTCGCAATTCTGAGAAAAAAGTCAGAATTGTGAGTTTATATCTCGCAATTCTGACCTTTTAACTCATAATTGTGAGTTTATATCACACTTCTGACTTTATAACTCGCAATTGCGAGTTTATATCTCACAATTCTGAGAAAAAAAGTCAGAATAGTGAGAATTAAAACTTCGCAATTTCCATAGATAGCTGTAATAAACACAAGCCTTATTACAAATTTGTGTACCATCAGAATGACTTTGAAACTGATATTTTAAAGTAAAAAAAAAAATACATACAGTTGCTTTAAACGGGTAGTACATCCAAAAATGTAGTTTATGTCTAAATAATTTACTCTACTTTCTTCCAGGGCCACAAACGAGGACATTTATAGCTGAATGTCTAAGCTGTTCGTTTCCCTACAATGAATGGTGGCTACAGCTGTCAAGCGGTACTTTTAGTAAATTACAGATTAATATCAGTCTTTTACACAAATATAGCTGTCATACAACTTAAGTGAATATAGTGAATCATATGGACTACCTTTTTTTTTATAGCTTGAAAGCCCCGGTCTCCATCCACTTTCATTGTAAGGAAAAGAGGAATGTGAACATGCTTCAAATTTGGCTATTGAACATCTTGCTCATCTGTAATAATCAATATTAATTTGGTTGATTATAATTCTGCTTTTCATATTTTTTCACAGGATTTTGTGCTGATGAGGACTCATAATCTATATTTATTTACAAGGAAATTCACTGCAATTGTGAACATTCAGTAAGAAAGTAAGTCATACAGGTTTTTGAAGTGACAGGAATGTGAAAATGAACAATTAAAATTAATTACATCTCATTCCTCCTTTTCTTTAAAAAGCTCAAATCAAGGCTACAGTGAGGCGCTTAGTGGGGACAATTTTAGTGGGGATTTAAAGCTTTTCATTTTAGAAAAACACATTTAAAATTCTATTAAAACATGCAGTATTCGAGATGTCAAGCTGTTTAAATCATCATTTCTCAAGTTATTTTAGGGTTTATGGAGATCTGTTGTCACAACAATGTTGACAATCGGATATAGCATTACACACTTAAAAAAATAGTTAAAGGCATAGTTCATCCCAAAATGAAAATTCTGTCATCATTTACTCACCCTAATGTTGTTTAATTTTTGACTTTCGCTCTTCAGATCATCTTCTTTTGTGTTCCAGAGAAAGAAGGCATATAGGTTTGGAACAATATGAGGGTGAGTAAATGATGGCAAAATTTTTATTTATGGTTGGACGATCCCTTTAACACACAAATCGTTTAAGTTTTGTGGCCATTTTATTGAATCTGTGTATTTTAACGTTTACGGATTGGTACTAATCACTTCCGAGGTAAATGCCTCATTGTAACCAAGATTTTTTTCTCCAAATATCAACATGATTTTAAATGTGATATTAAAATGATATGATATGAATATACAGTTCAATAAACAAAAAGTTAATTAAGAGACTTAAGTTTTAGACACCATATTGCCTGTTTTTGCTCTATTTCGACAACAAAAATAACTCCAAACAAAGCCACAGCACTGTTTTGCATCTCTGAGCAACATGAGGTGTTTCGTTTCTGAATGAATCAACTGTTTAAATGATTCGGTTCAATCACAATGACTCACATATTAACAGCGACTTGCTGCCACCTACTGGCGGTTTAAATTTCACATTTAAAGTATCTTTTCATTTTTTAAATAATTTCAAATGCCAGTATTCGACGTTTTTTGTTTAAAATATCAAAACATTATCTATGCATTTGTAACTGTAGGCTAAAGTATCCCATATCCCTCTGAGCTGCATTAAACAGCGTGACATCTAAATGCCACTTCAGATGCAGCTTCTGTGTTTCCTCTGCATTGCAAAGATTAATTTCGTTGATATTTATACCATTTGCTTGGTAACAGCCCAAAAGTCTCATTATTCTAATTGACAAATTATATGCAAGAATTTGACTCAAAAAGATGATGCACACTTTAAGAAAAAATGGCTTTATAAATGTAAAAATGCTTATAAAAGGTAAAAAATATATATATATTTAAGCTTATTGGTAGATTAATTTCTATCACTGCTGTGAACTGACCACCACAGAATATCAAAAACTTCATACATCGTTAGATCCGCATAGCAGCTCATATACATCGGCTTGACTGAAAAACTGGGAAATGCTGTTGGCTGTTGTGTGACGGCAATTTAACCTATTACACAAACAAATGTTTATTATGAGGTTGAGTTCAGTTATTTATTAGTCAGTTACTTATTGATGCTTTTATTTCCATATTGAATAACATGACGCTTCCATAACGCATTTGAATCCAGTATAGCGTTGTTCCCATAGCTGTGATTTAAAGCTCTGTTTCTCTGGCATTTTCAAAGGCACGTAAAATATAATACTGTGGCTTGGCATAATACACAGCCTAATGGTCTAACGAAATCCAATTTTAAACATCTTTTACTGTACCTATTTTATGGCCCTTATATTACCTAAATATTTGAGCCAATGCAGATGAATGAAGTTATCTCAGGACGAGACCGCCCTGATTGTAAAGCAAAACGTGATTGGCTATAGCGAGATCGTGCTACGATTGGACAGCGAAATGTGGCTGTTATCTGATTGGCTTGAGGAGACGGTGGGTGGAGTCCACGTATTTGTGGATTGTCAGCATAATCTATTTATTTGGAATTAAGCAACAATTCTATCTCCATAGTGGTGATTCTATTATTTTTTTTTTACTAAAAAAACAATGCCTCTAAACAATAACAGTCCTGGTTCTAAACCCAATTCTAAACCATTAACTACCTATAAAACCAGAGAGGGAAAGAATAGGCTGGTTAGAATGTTGTTGTGCACTAACCTTCAAATCTGATTCAAATCTCAAGGATCAACAGAGATATTGATTGAGGAAGATGTCCAAATTAATGGCAAAATACTAGGCCAATGATCTCTCATATAATTTTGGTGCTTTCATTTCTTATAAACGACCATAGGTGGAAATCCCAGGGGGGACGGGGATAGGACCCCCCCATCTGAGGGTTGTCCCCCCTAAAATTATGATTAAAAACCACGCTGTGCATTGTAAATAACAATGTTTTATACTTTAAATAATTGTAAGTAGTAAAACAACACAAACGGGGCAAAAATGCGTTTTAAGTTTCGAAACATTTGAGTCTCCCCCTCCCTTGCCTCACTTTGGTCCAAATGCCTGCTTTCCTCTTTTACATCACCTACACACACACAAGTCCGGTGAGAGAGAAGTCAATAGTTGTGGAACTCCAGTAAGTAAGGCTGTCAAGGCTATTTTATTCACTTAAACATCGGATGAAGTGATTATTTTCTCTTTAATACATGATGCCAATGTATTTTTCGATGAGTCCGCTATGTTAGCAATAATAACGTTACCTGCTTGATGGAAAGGGTTGCCAGGTTTTTACAACAAATCCCCACCCAATTGGTACTCAAAACTAGCCCAAACTAACCGCTTTTCGAGGGGGGTCCCCCGGTAAAAATCGTGTTCCGGGGGCAAAAATACACATTATTGGGGTCGCTTCAACCCGCAACACTGTGACGGATAGTAATGTCCACAACGGACATGAGCGCTGTCATGGCGCGACCACAACAGCTTGAAGTTGTCTAATTTGGCACAGTCTCCCTGCTACTCTTACGCGCGCCGCTCACGCTTGCAGTGTGAAACCGGCGTTACTATTTAGGCTTTCCTCTGTGTATTACATATCCTTACAAGTACAATTTTAGCTGGATTATTTGTGTCCCCTTCAAAAATTGCTCTTGAGAAATTTTATGTTTATTGTCCCCCCCAACGGTTAGACGAAATTTACGCCCCTGTAAACGACAGTGTTTAAATCAGATGTTCAGCTCTAGCTGATTGTGTAACTACTGTACTGGCCTGTCAGCTATAAAGAAAGGTTTTCGTTTTCACAGAGACTCGTGCATGCTGTGACAGTTTGACAGGCGTCAACATTTTGGCAGCTTCTTTACATTATGGTGTCTTGTGTTGCTTGAGCATGTAGACGGTTTGTCGTACCTCCAGAGGGTTGACAGTGATGGAGAGAGAGGATCCGTCACAGTCCGCTTGTTTCTCTGGCAGCGTGTGCGTGTGAATGTGCTCTTGGTTTTGTGGTTGGTTGAAGAGGTAAACACTCAGCAGCACCACCAGCAGGGCGGCGATACACAGCACAATGACTGCAGTAGCAACGGCAGGTACGACTGGAGAAAAACAATAAATCTTACACGCTATAGACTTTAGAATAGATGTCATAATTTGACAAGAAGCTGTGAGGATGAGAGTCCCATCTGTTTAGTATGCTGTAGTAAATAATTGCCATATTTTGCATAGTTTTTTTGTCAGTTGATTCCTTAGTGATTGCATGTATGATTCTTTTGGTACTTTAAAGGAAGCCACACTGAATCAAACTCACTTGACAGCTGTATTCGGTGTGAATCTTTAAGAACATTCAGTAGTTACAGTTCTTGGTTCATTTGAGTTTATGAAAGTAATATTTTTTTTTATTAACAGCATTTAATTTATAGATTTATTATTGTTCATTGTTAATTCTTCTTCCTTTATAAAATGGGGTTAGTATGATTGTTTTTTTAAAGAAATTAATTTATTCTGCAATGATGCATTAAATGGATTGAAAATGACAGTAAACCATTTAGAATGTTACAAAAGATTTAAATGTCAAACAAATGCGGTTTCTTTTAAACTTTCTGTTCATCAAAGAATCCTAAAAAATGTATCAGTTTCCACAAACATATGAAGCAGCACGACTGTTTCCAACACTGATAATAATCAGAAATATACATGAGCATCAAATCAGTATATTAGAATGATTTCTGATGGATCATGTGACAATACTGTGGTCTGATTCGATGACAGTACTTAACTGGATTCGTTCTGAGACTTGCCGCTATAAAGTATTTGTTGCAAACCGCATTACTGAAATCCTAGAGTACTCTGCTCCTGAACAATGGCGTTATGTTAACACCACTAGCAATCCAGCTGATGATATCACTAGAGGCAAGAATCTGACTGATCTAGTCAAACCGAATCATTGGACTCGAGGCCCTGCTTTCCTTTATTCTGACCCTGATCAGTGGCCAAAATTCCCTGGTATGACTGAGAACTCTGTTGATGCTACAGAGTTGAGGAAGACTCTGTTCTGTGGCCTTACTAATGCTGAGGATAACCTTGTGAATTTTGATGTTCAGCAATACAAGTCGTGGAATGAGCTTGTTGAAGCTGTGGCAGTTAACCCTGATAACTCTTTGCTGGACAAGGCTCAGATTGAACTTTTCCTGTTGCGACAGGCTCAAAGGAAGGATTTTGCAGAGGAGTATGGTGCATTGCGAACTGGGAAAAATGTTCCAGCTAGTAGTCGATTGTACACTCTTGCACCTGAGTTCGATCCCATTGCTGAAGTTATTAGAGTAGGAGGGCGACTTCGACATAGTCAAGAACTGGCTTTTGACACCATTCATCCAATTATTCTTGATTCAAGAAATTCTGTCATTCAACTTTTGATTGCAGCTGTAGATGCCAAGTTGGGTCATCCTGCAGTAGATAGAGTTTATGCTCATCTTAGGTGCTACTACTGGATTTTAAAAGGTAGACAAGCCGTGAAGAAATATCAACATGGTGATTGTAGCTCCACCCACTGTTGACAGCTGCACCCTATTCTGGCTCCAATTAGGGGCCTTTAAGAAGGGTTGCTTCCGAGCAGTAGTCAGTTCATTCCTTGTTCACTGCTCTGGATTATTCCATATGGTGTTGTGGCTGTGTACAGATGTAAGTTTACTGTTTGTTTTGTATGGTTTGGATTTATTTGCAATTCCTTGATTGTTTAATCTTTATTTATTTTGTTTAAGTTCAGAAACCAGTCTGATACCTGTGGAACGATTGATGTACTGGCATTGGTGAAATAAAACTTGTAAATGGATATTGCCTCAAGGTGTTTTAACTGACATCCCATTGTGATGCTCCCCCTACGAATAAGCAGTACCCTAAGAGTCTTTTACAGGAGTAATGATCTTACTCTTACAATATATTAAAATAGAAAACAGTTATTTTAAATTGTAATAACATTTCACAATATTACTGTTTTTACTGTATTTTTAATCAAATAAATGGAGCCATGGTTAGCAGAAGCGACTTCTTCCAAAAATCTTGCCAACCCCAATCTTTTAACTGAGAGTATTTCATATTTGGTATCACCTCAGCTAATGTTTACCTTGTCATATCAAAATTAACATAATCACAGACATACTTAATTAAGTCCGACACAATCATTTTGACTTTCACTCACCTATGCTGTAGCTGTTAGATTCTATGACTGTAGGATGAATAATTTGCATGTATTTGGGTGGAGCAATCGCATGACTGACATGTTCAATAGCTTCCTCACTGTGAAGGATGTTGACCTTGGAGAAAGAGTGATAGAGAGCATCTTTAGGACATAGATCAGAGCCGTGGCTTAGTGCATTTCTTTGTTTGGTTCTCACCTGTAATGTATACTGATCGCTGGTGTAATGTCCGCTGAGTTCAGAACAGGTGAGTTTGAAGGTGCGGACAGAATCGACAGCCCGACGGCTCTGATAACGCACCTGTCCGATCACCTCTGTGTAGTGAGAGATGGAGTCCAGACCTAAAACAGATATAGAAGATGAAAGAGGTGAGGAAATTGTGTTTGGGAAAAACTAAAGTAAGTTGCAGAGTTTGTTTTTACCATATATGGACATGCCAGTGCTGGAGTTGGCATATTCCAGGTGTTTGCCCAATAAGGCGCTATGGTGCAGTTCCAGACTCTCTAGCCCCGCCCTTAACTCCTCCCCCAACACCATGATGTCACAGTAGTCCAGATTATGTGTGATTTCCTTAAATGCACCTGACCTGTGATCTGCACACATACAAAGATGAAACAAATTTTAATGAATAATAATAATAAAAAATAAATCTTTCTTTCTCTGCTATAATTCCCACAATTTTCAGAAATATAATATTCATGAAATATATGCAATGTAATATCCATGACAGTCCATGAGCTGTCTGGACTACTTTTATGATGCTTTTTTTTTTTTTAAGCCTTTTAAATTACGCATCTTCAACACGTTTATAATATTTAATATATCACTTAGGTTTCTATATGCAAATGACCTCTATTCTGATCATGTACCAGAGTAGTTCATATACAGTGGGACTAGTTGAAGTTTAATTGTTATAAAATGTAAAATTTATACTACTGTTCTAAGGTTTGGGGTCGGTAAGATTTTTTAAATTAATTAATTTTTAAATGTTCTTTATGTGTTTGAAAGAACACATAAAAAATACAGTAAAAACAATAATAAATCTTATTAATAAATGTTATTAATGATAAAATATTATTACAATTTAAAATAACCCTAAATATATTTTGAAGTGTAATTTATTCCTGTGATGTAAAGCTGAATTTTCAGCATCATTACTCCAGTCTTCAGTGTCACATGATCCTTCAGAAATCATTATAATATGATGATTTGCTGCTCAAGAAACATTTCTGATAATTATCAATGTTGAAAACTTCATATTTTTGTGGAAACTGTGATACATTTTTTTTCAGGATACTTTGATGAATAGAAAATTCAATACAACGGCACTTATTAGAAATATTAATATTTTGTTTTATATGTCTTTACTTACACTTTTGATCAATTTATTGCATATTTGCTGAATTTAGGTAGTAATTTCTTTAAAAAAAAATCCTATTGAGCCCAAATTTTTGAATGCTAATGAATATCTACATAGTGACTGAAACTTTAATTGGAAAGAGCAAGGAAAGTGTAGTTTTCTATGATTTGTCTCATTTAAAGTAAACAAATAAGCCCTCAGAATAATGGAGGGAGAGGCGCTTCAGATTCAGAAAAGCATCCTCATGTGTTGTGAGGGTGGAGGGTGCAATGAGCATCTGTCTTTTATGATTTATTAACATGTTTTTTTGCATTTACTGTTGTTTCCCACCAAAACAGCATGACACCTGTGCTCTGTCAGTGAATAATGTGCTCTGTGCTGCGTTTGGGGACTTTCTTTGTGGCTTGTTTTCATTAGTAGTGTTTTTGTTGCAGAAATAGTTCACCCAAAAAGGAAAAATCTGTCATCATTTACTCAATGACTGACTTTTCTTTTGTTCAACACAGAAGGTAAAGTTGAGCAGGATGCTTTCCACTCTTTGGCATAGAATGGATCCTGTCAAGCTCAAAAAAATTATAATAAAGCACTCGTAAAAACACAACTTGTGCACTATTTTCTGAAAATTTGCTGAAAATGTTCCCTCTTAGATCTCATTCCTGTATATTCAATATGGTGGGTCAAAACAGGTTTGAAAAAGCACTACAATATATAACTTAAATTTTTAAGTTAGAATGATATGAAGGTGAGTAAATAATAATTTTGAACAAATTACCCATTAAGAGAAGAAAGGTGATTCTAGAAATGGTTCTACCTGTGTTTGTCTGTCCGTCGCTTTTTGTTACTGTGCTGATGATATGCAAATCTCTGAATAGGGATAGGCCGAGGGCAAGGTCGGAGGCGGGGACGGTCAGGTGCTCCGCCCCAGTGATTGTGATGCATGGTTCACTAGGCTGCATTACCATGACAACCGCCTCAATATCAGGGACGGAAATACACACATCCTCCCCGAAACACCTGCAGAGATCACAAACACAGCAACACATTCTTTCTCTTTTGTGTGTTATTTTAGATACAGACACACACAAACACACACATACAGGGTCCAAAAGTAAGCACCAAATGCAATTGCCATATTGCCAGTGGCTTTATTAGGAACTTTTATCCTAATAAATCCAGTTTTAAGATTTAAGCGTATGAATAAATAAGCTTTCCATTGATGTATGGTTTGTTAGGATAGGACAATAGAGATACAACATACAACTATTTGAAATCTGGAATCTGAGGGTGCAAAAAGAATATCTTTATGGAACATGATCTTTACTTAATATCCTAATGATTTTTGCCATAAAAGAAAAATCGATAATTTTGACCCATACAATGTATTGCTGGCTATTGCTACAAATATACCCCAGCGACTTATGACTGGTTTTGTGCTGCAGGGTCACATATAAAGTTGATAAACTTTATCAGTTCAGTTGAAATTGGCAAAAGTTAATTTTGGATATAATTATATAATGCAAAACAATTTTCCATCACATATAAGAAATATTTAGCAGGGTTATTTTAGTCTCATTGAGATACTATTATATTTTTTATTGATATTTGGAATATTCATATTTTTATTCTATTTTTTGTTCTTATATTTTCTATTTTTATTTTAATCCTAAAGTTTTACCGATTTTGTTGTGTGTTATTGTCCTTTTTATTTATTTATTTTAAAATATATAGTTTTAAATTTTTTTTAGGTTTGGTTATTTTAGTACATCAAGATAAACTTAATGAAAACGAGAAATATTGCCTTAATTGGCAACATACATAACATTTATTTTATATTTTATTTAAGTTCAAGTTTATTTTATTTCAAGTAACAAATTGTTCTATGGTTTTTGCTTTTGTTTTAGTTAAAGGGATAGTTCACCCAAAAATGAAAGTTGGATGTTTATCTGCTAAAGAAACAAAGTCACCTACATCTTGGATGCCCTGGTGTCACCTACATCTTGGATGCCCTGGTACAGGCAAGTCATGCGCCGGCTGAAGAAGAAGACGCGAACGTGCTCCGGACGCGCTCAAGACAGTTCGGACATTGCAGTAAATCAGAGGTAAAAAAAGATATAAATACTGTTCAGTTTCTTGCACAGACCGATCGTTTTGTGTGTTTACACATCAATGTATCGTCACGATTCGCAGGGTTTAATTTGGTTTTGTTTGTGTATGTTTTTTTGACTCTCAAAGCCGTGATTCCCATTCACCTCCATTATATGACTGACAGACTGCAACGGTTTGAGTTAAAAATCTTCGTTTGTGTTCTACTGAAGAAACAAAGTCACCTACATCTTGGATGCCCTGGGGGTAAGCAGATAAACATCACATTTTCATTTTTGGGTGAACTATCCCTTTAACTATAATAACCCTGATATTTAGAGCTGGTAAATTGTCTCAGTTCACTTGTCATTGGCAGGTTGGGAATGAAGTTAATTTTGGGTCCTGCAAACACTCCCTCAGAGGTGAAGACATCTCCACTTGGATATAAATAATAAGAAGCGTTTGACAGGGATGTGCAGAGTGTAAACAAATGACTTGGAGCTGTTCCCAACTCATTACGGAGACTGCAGGGCTGATAACTTCACACAAAGAGAAAAACTATGCCTGCAGTGAATTAATAACACTTCAGCTTTCTTGAATCTCACAGTAATTGGACTTAATAAGCTTAAAAGCAAAACACAAATGGTGTTTACTAGAATTAATTTACAACTCTAGTGATTTCACCACTGTGAAGCAGCTCTGAACGACAGGAAGTAGGAAGTCCATTATCCACAAATGAACACAGATCCGCCTTCTCTAATTAAAGATGTTGTTCTTAATCCTGACGCAAACAAAAACTCACATTCATCAACAGACAGGAAATGAATGGAGGAAACCATCTGTGACTGAAGGTTTAGATACGCTGAGGCTTGAAGAGATTAATTCATGTTTCGTTGTGAAAACAGCTGTTTGCTACAAGATACAGTTGGTTTAAACTAAAATATGATTTTACTTATTCTTTTACAATCTGTGACGATTGACTGATGACCAAACGATGCATGCTATTTGACATCTTTAGCCCTATGTTTGGATGTTAATTGTTTCTCAGGGTGACGTGTGTCGAACATATGCTTGGATTTTCCATGATTGAAATTCATGCGTTCGAATGGCAGTGGATAGTGAAGGATGAGGCATTCTGCCATTCACTAAACCTGGACGTTTGCCTCACATCTGTTTAAACACGTGAACATATTCCAACATGGCATTGAAGGAGCCAAGTGTAAACTTTATTGTTCAGTATTGAATATTTAATTTTGCATGATGATTTTCTCCTAGTTTTACATTTATATGCCTTTTTTTTGCTATATTATTCACCTAAAATGAAGCTTTCACAAAAATATGAATTTAATAGTACTGTTAAGTCTCAAAATAAATCCTTTTTTAATTTAAATATTGGAGTATATTGTACTGTTTTGCAATAATATTTTTTTGTGATATTTTTAAAATGTATTTATTTATTTTAAAGGAAATCCCCTATTGAAAAACCATTTAATAAGTTCAATAAACGAATGATATTAGTAAGTGAGTAAATCTCAATATTGGCCAAAATAATGGTTATTATTATTATATATTGCATCATAAATTCACTTGTAGCATTTAAAACAAGATTTATTTTATTTTATATTTCTTTAAACAGTATAGCATTTTATCTGTTTATAACACACAAATAATTATCAGCTTATTGTTACTATAAACAGAATTATAAAGATAATTATATAATAACTGCAGTGCATGCCTGATGATTTGACCAGCCATTTTATTTTGGCTGGTGGGAGAAAAACACTGATATTTCTGGTATTTTTTAATCACTGTCTAGCTCCTGTAAATGTTGAAATGACTTCAGGTCACCATGCAAAACAAGTTCTGTCCCCATAGGGCTATACAGTCTCACTTTTCCATGTTTACATCATTACTTTTTAGGCCAAGGTGCAGTGTTTGTCTCCTTGACAAGCAATCTGTTACTTTGCAAAAGTGTAAATGAATCGTCTAAATTACTTTTAGATAAAAGTTACTAATTATGCGAAACACAACACATTTGTGCTTAATATAATCTGTGATCAGGAAGTTTTAAGAATGAGAGAAGCTAGAGTTCAATTATATGTCTTACCGTAATATAATACTTAATTGCTCTTGATTATGTGTGTTTTAGTGTGTGTTATTTTCATGCGAATTCCCTGTTGCTCTTGCTGAAGGAACTCCGCCCACTGGCTGTGCTGAAGTCTCAGAGGGGCGGGTCATAATCCTCTAGGGGCTTATGCATATTCATGATCTGCTTTGAATAATCATGGGGCGCTAGTGGGTGCATTTCTGTTCCAAAAAAAATTCAAATCTCTCTGTTATTCTCTTTCCATTTCCCGGTCTGTACATAAAAATGAAACCTCACTAAGCGTGGTGTATGAATTAGATAAGAACAGAATAAGAGTAAAGGTTACAAGAAGGGTTAGGATTGCTTATAGTATGATTAGGGATTTGAAATAGCCAGCAGCTAGCTAGCAGAAAATATACAAATCTAGTTACAAATACATTCAATAAAGGTTCTTGTTGGCATATGGTTCCATGAAGAACTTTTCATATCAATGGAACCTTTCCAATGTTCTTTATAGTGGAAAAAGGTTGCCAGATTGAGGACACTGGAAGGCGACGAGCTTCACACTGTAAGTTGATGAGTTGAGTTTGTCCGTGTTTTAATATTCCTCTGGTCATAAAGCTCTTTACATGGATGCTGAGGCTTTTTAGATCGGGTAGAATTTGCGATATCTGATCCATTTCATTTGCTGGCTTCCATGGCTGCAATACGCTGTGTTTTCTACCAACTGGCAACCTGGGGTGTCAAAATACTATTGGGTAACTTGGCATTGGGTGGAATCACACAGACCAAATGAAAAACAGACATTCCGACACGGAACACACATTTCAAAGTAGAATACATTTAGCATTGTTTTTCGAAGAAACAAGTATGTAAACTTAACATGTTTCCTAACATGTTTTTGGCATTTCTTACATTTTAAGGTGCTTTATGTAATTTTTTGACTGTACTAAAATATAAAAATATTATGGTATTTTTATGCTTTAGTACAGTCAAAAAATAGTAGGATACAGTTTTAATAACTTTTCCAGCCAGAGTCAAAGCACAGTTAAAAATTCTGGAATGCATATCAGAACTGTGCAACCAGATATAAATGGTTTGATCATTCGTATTGCCATATTCCAGAGCTAAAATTCTAGTATAGTAGTTCAGAAATGGGATCTCATGAATATTTATAATCTTACTGCACTGCCGTTGAGATCCGGAGGTGACGCGCTCCCTTGGTGGGAAACTGCCGAGAGTTGATGTAAGAAACTTTTCTCAGTGCGGCGATCATCTGCTCCAGATCCTCTCCCTCCATCACCACCAGAGACTGAGCGGGATTCAGATGAAACTGAGACAGAAAACCATGAGATATTATACTATCAAAGTGTCTATGAGAGTGAGCGTTTGAGGCCGAGATGTGCAAAATTCAGAAATGAAGAAATGTCTGTGAATCTGAATTGAAATTTGAATATGAATGACAGGAAGAGGGAATTCAACACAGGAATTGTAACAATTACATAAAAAAATAAGGTTAATAATGCATATTTTTCTATTTTATTTCTACACTGAAAAATATTGGTGTAGAAACAATTTTCACCTAGAAATTGATAGAAAATTTTAGAATGACAAAAAACGTGCAAGTAACATTGAATTAAATGAAAATTCTAAGCAGAAAGCCGAGAGTTGATGTAAGAAACTTTTCTCAGTGCGGCGTTCATCTGCTCCAGATCCTCTCCCTCCATCACCACCAGAGACTGAGCGGGATTCAGATGAAACTGAGACAGAAAACCATGAGATATTATACTATCAAAGTGTCTATGAGAGTGAGCGTTTGAGGCCGAGATGTGCAAAATTCAGAAATGAAGAAATGTCTGTGAATCTGAATTGAAATTTGAATATGAATGACAGGAAGAGGGAATTCAACACAGGAATTGTAACAATTACATAAAAAAATAAGGTTAATAATGCATATTTTTCTATTTTATTTCTACACTGAAAAATATTGTAGAAACAATTTTCACCTAGAAATTGATAGAAAAGTTCAGAATGACAAAAAACGTGCAAGTAACATTGAATTCAATGAAAATTCTAAGCAGAAAGCAACTTCGAAAAATATTTTTTATAGTGTAGTCATGTTTTGCTATATACTGTAAAACATTATTGTAATTTTAACTGTAAATGACTGAAACCATTTATTATCTTTTATTATTTATTATTAAATGTATTACATTTAAATAAGGTTGTTCTGCAAATGTGTATACATTTTTACTGTATTTTTGCAGAATTCTGGCTACCACAACCGCCTTTTCAAGTGTAGTTTTGCTCTAAAATATTTCAGTGATTGTTGTCGTGTAGTGTAAATATGCTATTATTCTTTAGAGTCAGTTTTTGTCAATGAATTGGTCAAATGAATTTGCAGATTGCTGTGTTTTGAATTATTTTATTATTGTTCAGATCCCTGTGGCATTTCAAAAATGAAATATTAATATACTGTTTTGTGTATGTTAACAGGTGTTTTTAGGTAATTTATGCTGAAAAATTTATGATAAACTACACTTACAGCAGCTATATGAATTAATTTTCTTAATTCTAATTTAAATTCAAATTCTGCATGTTGCTTCACAGCAAGAACGGAACTGTTATTTAAAAGGCATTATGAGTTTGGTTCTGAATGAAGCACAATCCTGCTTTGAGCTTATGAGCAAACAGACCACCTTCTGTCTCTCACTAACACTCTGACTCTCTGTCTGTAAAACCTGCTTTCATTTGATCCTCAAATCTTCCCTAGAGCTTCTCGAATACAATAGAACAGAACAGAGGAAAGCAAAGCAGAAAATAGAAAATGTGCGTACAGAAATATCTCTCCTCAAGTCTCGTCTCCTGGCTTTTCTTCACCTTTTCCTCATTCTTTTTCAACAAAATAGTGAGTTTAATCTCTGTTCAATGGTTTTATTCATGGCAAACTCCTTTTCAGAACTAATGCAATGTGACTTACAGTATAAAATTTACCAGAATGTGCAATCAAATCTGTGAACTTGAACTAGTTGAGCTATAGTTGAGCATTGCACGTTGGCTTCAAGGATAGCTCATTCATTCAGATTTGTAATTAAAAGTTTGTACAGTGTTTTCTAAAGTTAGCCGTGAATGTGTGTAACCTTTATCCTCTGTCCGAGGCTCTCCAGTGAGGTGATTTCCAATCCTTCTTTGCAGGCCTGTAGGCAGGAGATGATCTTCTGGTTTTCGATCTTTCCTGGTCGTATCATCAGTCCAGACAAACTGCCTCTGAAATACTGCGTAAACTTTGCTTTAGAGACCTCACCACCTGCACACAAACACATGTGACATGTGATATGATTCCTAAAGAGGTCACATCATGCAGCATTTTATTATTCCATTTTATGAAGTTGAAAATCTTGCACCAAATCCAGTCCTAATTTAGTTTTTCTGACCTTGCATTAACTGACTAATAGAATTAGATAGACTCTTTTGGGTCAGATTTTTTTTTTAAGAAATCAATACTTTTATTAAGCAAATAGGCTATGCATTTAATTGATATCAAAAGTGATAGTAAAAATGTGTAATGTTACAAAAGATTTCTATTTCGAATAAATGCTGTTCTTTTGAATTTTCTATTCATCAAAGAATCCTGAAAAAAAATATCACAGTTTCCACAAAAATATCGATAGTAATACATGTTTCTTGAGCAGCAAATCAGCATATTAGAATGATTTCTGAAGGATCACGTGACACTGAAGACTGGAGTAATGATGCTGTAATTTCTGCACACTGCTGAACACACTGCTCCGGGTGTGTGTTCACGGTGTGTGTGTGTTCACTGCTGTGTGTGTGCACTTTGGATGGGTAAATGCAGAGCACTAATTCCGAGTATGGGTCACCATACTTGGCCACATGTCACGTCACTCACTCACTCACTTAATTTCAGCTTTGATCACAGCAATAAATTACATTTTAACATGTATTCAAATAGAAAACAGTTATTTTAAATTGTAAGCATATTTCACAATATTTCTGTGTTTAATGTATTTTTGATCAACTAATTGCAGCCTAAGTGATCAGAAGAGCCTTTCAAACACATTAAAAGTCTAAAAAAAATCGCCCCAACCGCTTTTGTATGTAAATGAGCTTATGGTTGTGATGTCAATAGTGCGGTGGTTTCTGATTGGCCCATTTTTGCTGCCTAGTTTCCATAAATGGTCATAGCCTGGGGAGGGAGTTTTTGAATGTTTAAGTAGACCTATATTACATATTATAGTGAACTGTTTAATTCTGATGGTGCGATTATTATTATTGTTTATTATTATTATTTTCTCAAGGCATTTCTGAATTAAATATTTGATTGTTTTAAAGAATCCGATAAAGTGGTCGTAAACAGTAATTCGTAAAGGTCTATATTTAATTATTTTTTTAAATATACATTTGTAGCATGTAATAAGCAGAGGCAGACAAAGTACACAACTCCATTACTTAAGTGAAAGTACAGATACTGCTGGTCAAATATTACTCCATTACTAATAAATGTTGTAAAGACAGATTTTTTACTTAAAGCTGCAGTCCATAATATTTTTTGGTTAAAAATTATCCAAAATCAATATTTGAGCAAGTATATAACCAGCCAGTGTTCAAAACTATCGATTCACAACGGGTTATCTTATAATAATGTTTTCTAATTTGAGTGGTATGGGTAGGTTTTCACGGGAAATTCGAGCATGGCACTGCGTCATTACGTCACGTCTGTAAACATAAAGAAGAAATAAATATCACGTTTGCAACTGGGCAGTGTTCAAAAAATGCTGGGAAATCACTTCATGTAGCCCTACAAGAGTGATTACTGATAAACTGTCTGAAAAAAAGAAAGTCACGTTTTAGAGAAGAAAAAAATCACCCAATGACTTTCAAAGCTGCTATATAGTAACGACTTTCTACTTCGAGGACCTTGATAGAAATGTAGTGGAGTGAAAAGTACAATATTTGTCTTTTAAATATAGTGAAGTTAAAGTCATAAGTTTCCAGAAAAAATAATGCTCAAGTAAAGTACAGATACTCAAAAAGTGTACTTAAGTACAATACTCAAGTAAATGTACTTAGTTACTGTCCGCCTCTGGTAATAAGTGTTGTAATCATCAATGTGTTTAATTGTTCTTGATAATTGCACATGCCTTGGAAGCCGTTCTGAAAGCTGTTACCTTTGGATTTCCCGTCAAACAAACTGACTGATTGGGCAGCTGCCTTTAGTTTCAGACACAGCCATGGTTACACATCACACTTTATTCATCATATACACGCATATTAAATTTCAGCTTCAGTTGAGCTAGAGGTCTTCAGAGGCTGCACTGAAACGAAGCGATCACATGATTGAACTTAATGATGACCTAAGTCAGAGATAATGAGCAGTTACCTGCTGCATCTATCTGCTCTGTATGAGACGTGTCTGTGTGTAATGAAGCCTCTCTGAGGGGGTTTGTGATCGGGTATCTTCTGTGAGCCTCGGGCGATGGCATACTGATGTGTATCATGCTGCTGTATGTGTGTGTGTGTGGGGGCGGGGGTTATGTGGCTATGGTTTGGGGACAAAATTGTCACAACAATTGATTGAGAGAAGTTCGGCCTGGTCAGGATTCTCAAACAAACAGATCAATGCGTTGCTAGAATATAGAGAAATGGAGGTTTGCACAGGCATTCAGTCTGAACAAAAGACTTGTGACCCGACCCGTTTGATACTGTCAAAGTTTACGATTCAACTTGCTTACCTTCTCTTCTTCTTCTCTGACTGTATGGTGCTTTTATGTTTTTTTTTCTTTTTATTTGTTGTGGTCAAGAGTTGCATACAGATCACAGATAACAACTAATAGTATCTCAATGATATTAATATAACACTAGCTCTTTGAAGAAAAATATTTATATTGATTACAGTGTTAAAAAAAATTGTTTATCATGTTCTATCTTCTATAATCGTGCATACAATATAGTGCATACAAAGTGGAGTAAACTGAACTGAACTGAATCATGAGAAATCATTAAACTATTCAGGCTCCACAAATCTTAAAAAGATCAAATGTGCAGTCAGCGCTCATTATATTTTTTCCCACACAAAAAGCTATTTTTATTATCCATCTCACTCTTGTATTGCTTTCATTATGAAACAAAGAATCTCAGAGACACAAAAAGAGAGCACAGGCAGGGGTGTGTTTCCCAGAAGCTTCGTTAGCTAACTGTGGTCACAAGTCCCATTTAACTCTATTGGTAACGACAGAACTTGCGACCATAGTTGCTTTTGGGAAACACGCAGCAGGTCAAGAGGTCAACTCATTTGTTTTCCGGAGCTGCGCTTGAGGAAAAGGAAAAGAAGTGAAACAGGGATTGCAAAAGAACATGATGTGTTTAGTAAAGAGATATTTGTTCATGCTGTGAGATTTCACATTTCTATTTTCAAGTCATGTGCACACTGACCACACACACTAGCCACGCCCACATGCCATTCCTCCCACCTTGCCAGCAGGCTCCTACAGTGAGCTGCACGTCGATCTGAGAGGAGTGGATGGGCCAGTCATCTGTTACCAGGTACGGGTCATAGGTCACGCCGTCCACATATAGAGTCACCACTGGGAAATCGACGCTGATGACGTAATAATGCCACTCCTTATCACAGATCTGAGAGAAAGAGAGAGAAGTTCACAATATTTCTGCGTTCTCTACATCTGTTGTTTTCATTTTTGCTTCAATGTGTTATTTTAGTATAATTTATATACTTTTTTAGTTTTTTGTATTATTATTATTTGTTTTATTTGTATAGTTTTCATTTTAATTTTAGTTTAAGTAATTTTGTTTTGTGGTTTTGACATTTTGTTCTTTTTAAATATATTTAAATGTAAATTTATGACATGCAGGTAAACAAAATATTTCAATTTTTTTTTTTTTTTTTTTTCAGGTGTTTTATTTTCAAATAATTTACTCATTTTAATTTGACATTTTTATGATTTAATTCATTACATTTTAGTTAGGTCAAAACTAATCTAAAAGTAGTCAGAATACATTACCTAAAATAAGTAATCTAGATTAAATGTCATCATGTCGCTTGTAATCAGTAACAGATTACAATATGTAAATTATTTTAGATTTTTATTTTTAAGTTTTATGTGCTTTTGTCAGTTTTTTAAATTTCAATGTAGTTTTAATTAGTTTATTTATATAGTTTTAGTACTTCACCTTAAACTTACTGTATCTTATTTCAGTTAAGTTGCAAAGGCAACATTTAAAATTTTCATTAAAGTTGTTTTTAATCTAATATTTATGTTTTATTTAAGAATTACTTCAATTAAAAAAATTACTTTTAATAGTTTTAGTTAACAACAACAGCCTTGTTGAAATCACTAACCCTAACTATGATCAGTAGTATAGTTGTAGAGATGCTTGTCTTGGCAAACAAATAGACAGACAGGTTTAAATGTAAAGTTGTGTCTTTGCCATTGTGAATGTGTGTTTGTTGATGAGGGAAATCTCTGTCTGTGTTTGGCCCGTTTGGACCGCTGCCAGTCAAAAGCACACGGCAGCAGACGGTTTCTGCTCGCTCTGTCACACACCGTGTGTGTTTGTGTGTCTGGCAGGCGGTCTGGGTCGTAGAGTCTAGTGGAACTGATTGTTACACCCTCAGACGAAACCATCAGACATTTCTCATCTTCACTACATCTTTCCTGAAATCTCACCATCAGTCTCACTTCTTCTCACTCTCACACTCTCTCCTACCAAATTGAAGCTCCCCCCTCCGCCCCATGTCCTCCTTTTTCCCTTCCCACAGTGCCCACAATTTCCTAAAATGTCTCTGTATTGCTTTCATTTCAGAGTGAGACCTGCAGAAACAGGACATATAAGACAATATAAATAGAGGGAAAAATGTGTCTTTCTGAAAAACTCTTTCTTTCTTAATTATTATTCATTATTTATATTTTATAAAATAAGATATTTTATAAATATGTGTTATTGTTATTTATTTTATCTTACAATTATTTATTTATTTAATTTAAATTATGATATGAACATATTTTGTAAGATTCAGCCCCTACTCTTCAGATGTCCAGGCCAAAATATTTCCATATATATTTAACTCTCTCTCTTTATAAGAAACTCATAACAATTGAATACATTGTCCAACCCAAATTCTTATTGTAATTTGTTTGGATGTTTTTATATTTAATAATTTTGCCCACAATTTTTTTTTTGCCTGATGAATGATAAAATGGATGAAAAATTCCAAACACTGTAGCAGCCATATATTAACCAAAAGCCTAGCATCTTTTTTAATTAATACAATTAATTTCTAAATGTAAATATATATAAAAAAATAAAAAAAAACTTAATCATAAATTATGACAAATACTACCATTATATATACACACTTTGCTATTGAAATATATTTAATATAGTAATCATACAAATAATAAATAATTCATATTGGCTGTAATAATTAATAAATGACAAAATATGTAAAATGTATAAAATAATAATATACATTTGTTTGCATTACAGTAATGAGAATTATGAAATATGAAAATGTCATACTGCACAAAAACAGGCTTTGTTTTCTTTATGCAAAATATGTTCTTGACAGGCAGTGTGAGATTCAGCCAGAGCGAGTGTTATTTTTCTGTATTTTTCTTTAATCAGTTCCTTCTCTCTGTGCACACAGGTCATCTCTCTGTGTTCTTATTATGAATAAATTGATTTCTTTTTCATTAAATTTAACTTTTATACTCTATTGGTATTCGTCATGTAATCCATTCAGTTTTTCAACCTTTCTTCTCTGTCTCTGGTTCTCTGTGTCTCTGGGCAGGCATTGATTTTCTGCAGATGTGTGTGTGTGTGTGTGTGTGTGTGTGTGTGTGTGTGTGTGTGTGTGTGTGTGTGTGTGTGTGTGTGTGAATGCGAGAATGGCTGGGGATAGCAGTTGTGGTTCATGCAATCTTGTGGATCCAGATTTAGTAATTTAATGACTGTTATTTTACATCTAGCACACATTACTGTGATTTTCAGTTTTATAAGCATGCAGAAATCAGGTACGTTCCTAGAACTCGTCCATGTTCAGAAGCGCTCACAGTGTGTCCACGCGATCCCTGGAGAGCAGAGCGCTTTACTGTGATGTTTTCTCTGTGTGTGTTCAGTAAACGCACAGCGCTGAATCAATAGAGGTGGTAAAAGTCTTATAGCTGCACTAAGCCAAAGTCCACTTGATGGCAAGGCAATTTATCAAAGACAGAGTGAGCGAGACAGGTAGAGAGAAACCATTGTTTCAATTGCTTAGATGCTGCAAGTACACAATTTATCACTTACTGCTGTGCTATTGTGTCTCTCACATCTGTGTGAATCGCCTGTGTCTTTTTTTTCTATCTATTTTGCACCTATTTCAGCAGCTGTCCATTACCTGTTTTCTGGCCTTTGAGAAGGTACAATTTCAAAGAGTTTTTTTCTCAAATTTGAGTCTTCAGACATTACAAAGTGTGTCTCTGAACACTTAAGAGACACATGCTGTCTTATAACTGTTGTGAGTGCCATATCAACCAACATTAAATATTTAGTTCTTATTTAGGATATCTGAAGTGCCTAATGGGTCTTATTCACTAATTTGTTTGTAAAATGTTTTTTACACAGGTATCATGATTTATCAGAAAGTTTGCATTCAAATGTATGCTAAATTTACTTTAAGACCACTGGTACACAGTAAAAAATTTATTTTATTACTCTAAATCAAGAAACATTTACTTTAAAAACAAACAAATAAACAAAAACAAATACATTTATTTTCCAGATTTGTCTTAACCCTTTGGCACATTTTTTTTCTAGTTTAATGCTTAAACTTACTTAATTACACTAATTAACTTACTAATTAAATTAAACTCTCAGATTCTTAAAAACTTACTTAATTTTGAGTTTCAATAAGAATTTAGGCTTAAAACAATAACAATTCACAGAAAAACTATTTGAGTGTTTTTTTAACGCATTGGCAGAGTTTTTTTCTTGTTTTAAGCACAAACTCACTTAATTTATATATATGTAATCTATGTGATAATGAAAGTATTAACTATTTCTGACTAACAATAAATAAATAAATAACTTAAAAATGCAGCCTGTAAATAAGAGTTTCAAGACTGAGTGTGAGGACAAATTTATGTGCATATGATCCTGTGAATCCGGTGGAAATATTTCTGCATGCATAAATATACTAAGAGTAAGGTTTATTTTATTTTATTTTGCAACAAATGCATAAAGTAAACAGAGGAAAAATGATATTTGTGAAGTGCAGTGAAACACTAGAACTAGCATTCATGTTATTGAGCCAACACTCAGCACTCGTCCAACAAAACTTCATATTTGCATTAACATTCATCATTTAATATCCTTTTTCATAATGAAAACACACCATCCACTTACTAATTAAATTAAACTCTCAGATTCTTAAAAAAAAGCTAATTTAATTAGATCTCTTTCCTCTGCAGGTAGAGGAAAGAAAAAGCCTTTAGGAAAGATATAAAAAAGATCGCTCATGTTCTTTGAAGTGTCTGAGATGTGCAAAGACCAAAATGTTTCTCCCTCAGGCCAGTGGACCCTCAACCCCATATATTTTATGTTACGCATTTATGTATTCATGAAACTACATTATGAAATTAATTTTACGGTGGGGTTAAGTTCTTCAAGAGCTCGTTCTCCACTGGGGAAAACGGCTCTTTGATGCTTAACATCTCCGTAGAATCTTTAAACTATCTTTGCATCTTCTAATGCTGAGCATGTAGGTAGCAAATGTACAGTTATGGTAATGAAGATTTCAGAGGTACAGACTCAAATAAAAAACGAATGCAACTGCACTGCTTCAAATAAATGCTATCTATATAGGTGGTGCTAAATTGGCTCTTCAAATTAGTTTGTGGTTTGATGCTCTGATGTTTAAGTTGAGCTTTCGTCAGTTTGTTTTGGCCAGCAGAACTTTGCTCGTCCTCTGTGCCCAATCCTGTTGGAGGAGTTTGTGTTTTAAAGCAACCCCTGCCATTTTCTCTGATGGGTTTTTAAGTGGCCTTTGGCAGGGAAGTTCATGCAGCACACTGCTAGTTTTGTGTTGCGCTGTGTTTGTGCATTTGTTCTCTCAGATAATTAAGTCTTCTCGCGGCTCCGTTCTCTGGCACAGCAGTGAGGAGAATCCACTGCTAAACAAACACTCTCTTAATGATTGCACTGTTTTCTCTCTCTTTCTTTATTCTAAAGCTTTATCTTCACCCTAAAAAGTGGATATTTGCATAATTATACGCTTAATGATGGATTAACTCAAGTATTGTTGCATGTACAAGATGAAGGATTCAATTAACCTGCAGCAGACCTGTGAATCTAAACACAACACGCATAACACATTAAGAGGAAATTCATCACTAATATTTGTTAGGCGGTGGCTGTTTTGTGCTTAAAGTAGCCTAAAGAAAGTTTTGTGAAGAAGTTCCTACTGTCATTAAAATGAGAGAGCAAGAACGAGGGAGTAAAAACGAGGACTCTATCTATCTATCTATCTTAAGCTAAACTGTTAAGCATCAAAGAGCCGTTTTCCCCAGTGGAGAACGAGCTCTTGAAGAACTTAACCCCACCTTAAAATTAAGTTCATAATGTAGTTTCATGAATACATAAATTCACTTTGAAACCATTGAATCATTTTGCAACGCAATAGTTTAACTGGCTCGGAGTATGATGTTTACAAATAAAATATCCATATTTACATTCCAAAGACAACATCCAACACAAATCTACAAACATATTCAGGTGAAGTAACCGGTTTACTGCTAACTAGTTAAACACCTCATTAATATGATGAGCTGCACCACAAAATACATGGAAACATTGTTCATTATGATTGAGTTTGTAGCTTATAACTATATTTGAAATAGACTGACCACTGTGTTCACTAGGAAATCAGTTGAAAGCATCTAGTCATCTCATACCAATGAAGTGAATGTTAAATGTATCAGTAGGCTATTGTAACTAACATTTGAGAAATTATTGTTGTATCTGATTGTATTAGTCTATATAGAGTGATACTGATAGTCAATGTAAAAACTGCAACTGGGAGAAGCAGATGAACACAAAACAGCATTAGAACAGAAAGTAAAAGAGGGTAAACTTGAACTGTGCTTGTATGTTTTAAACACTTCGCCTACCTTATAAGTTATTACTCCACACGTATTAAACATGCATCCTTGAAAGCTTGCAGTTTTCTAGCGTATTTACGTTAAAGGGGTCATAGGATGCTACATGAAATTTTACAAGTTGTTTGAACTGTGTTAAGAATCATATCAACTTGTGGAAAATGGGCATCATATGACCCCTTTAAATTCTCAGCTAATATCAGTGGTATGAACTGTTTGAGATGCAGAGTATTCATCTGAAATGAAATTCCTAGTGTGAAACGTCTCTCATACCTGCTCTAATTTCCAGTGGAATTCAGCCGGTCTGAAGGAGTCTGTCTGAGTGTAGTCCGTCCTCAGCAGGAAAACCAGCCTGCAGTTATGCACATACAGAGAGTAATGGTGTCGGTTCATCTCTGAGAGAGACAGAGAAAGTGATAGAGACACAGAGACAAGGAGAGCACGGAGAGGTCAAGAGACCGACAGAGAATACAATTACCTCTTGACATACAAGATAATATCGCTAAATTGAACCTGAGAGAAAAGAAACGGCACCATTTGGTGTGTGTTTATCTATATAGAGATCCTGACAGGAGAGGATAGCCAACTTAACCGGGCTGGAAGTAGAGCTCCAATCGTCCAGTACAAATGAAATTCTGATCTTAACTGTTTCCTCTTCAATTCTAATGAAAAGACCAGTGTGAACCTCCATGTCCTGGCTGCTTTTTGCTAGCTAGCAGACCAGCAAGGTTTTTCTGGTAAAGGCTTATCATGGACTTCTTGGTGACTAAGCTAGTTACAGTGGGTACGGAAAGTATTCAGACCCCCTTCAATTTTTCACTCTTTGTTATATTGCAGCCATTTGCTAAAATCATTTAAGTTAATTTTTTTTCCTCATTAATGTACACACAGCACCCCATATTGACAGAAAAACACAGAATTGTTGACATTTTTGCAGATTTATTAAAAAAGAAAAACTGAAATATCACATGGTCCTAAGTATTCAGACCCTTTGCTGTGACACTCATATATTTAACTCAGGTGCTGTCCATTTCTTCTGATCATCCTTGAGATGGTTCTACACCTTCATTTGAGTCCAGCTGTGTTTGATTATACTGATTGGACTTGATTAGGAAAGCCACACACCTGTCTATATAAGACCTTACAGCTCACAGTGCATGTCAGAGCAAATGAGAATCATGAGGTCAAAGGAACTGCCTGAAGAGCTCAGAGACAAAATTGTGGCAAGGCACAGATCTGGCCAAGGTTACAAAAAAATTTCTGCTGCACTTAAGGTTCCTAAGAGCACAAGGTGCCTCCATAATCCTTAAATGGAAGACATTTGGGACGACCAGAACCCTTCCAATCGAGGGAAAGATGAATGCGGCCAAGTACAGGGATATCCTGGACAAAAACCTTCTCCAGAGTGCTCAGGACCTCAGACTGGGCCGAAGGTTTACCTTCCAACAAGACAATGACCCTAAGCACACAGCTAAAATAACGAAGGAGTGGCTTCACAACAACTCTGTGACTGTTCTTGAATGGCCCAGCCAGAGCCCTGACTTAAACCCAATTGAGCATCTCTGGAGAGACCTAAAAATGGCTGTCCACCAACGTTTACCATCCAACCTGACAGAACTGGAGAGGATCTGCAAGGAGGAATGGCAGAGGATCCCCAAATCCAGGTGTGAAAAACTTGTTGCATCTTTCCCAAAAAGACTCATGGCTGTATTAGATCAAAAGGGTGCTTATACTAAATACTGAGCAAAGGGTCTGAATACGTAGGACCATGTGATATTTCAGTTTTACTTTTTTAATAAATCTGCAAAAATGTCAACAATTCCGTGTTTTTCTGTCAATATGGGGTGCT